TCCGCCGTCACCCAACATGTTGCATTCCCACAGTCCAGCAATACACGTGCGCCATGTCAGCATAATTGTGGTTCACAACATAATTGACATCCTACACCTTTGTCAAGGCCAAGTGCATTTCATCATATCATGCAATAGCAATATTGCACAACGTTATCAGACACCTATGGGAACCGTCGGCCACAGTTAGTACCTCTGGCTAATGCTTACGCAACCATTAGTATAACGGAGCCAATGCATTAGGCATTGCAGCGGTGTCAGCATAATTTCATTTCACACGGTTGTGAAATCAGTGTGTTGAAACTTACAAGTTACCTGTGGGAATTTAAANAGCGAAATAGGAAATAGTGATGAGGTAGCAACAATGCACTCCGCTGAACAGGATAATTCCGATCTTATACCACACGTCGAGGTCCCCATAAACGTCTTTAGGAATCAGGTGATATTTAGAGTAGGTCAGGAATCTCGATGTATGCTAATAATTTCCACAGGTATAGGATCAGGATAACTCAGCGCCTAGTGGAAGACGTGACCATCCCTGATAGAATATTCGATATAATCGAGGAAGAGCATCGCAGAACCCACAGGAATCCGAAGGAAAATAGAGAGCAGATTCGAGAAAATACTACTTTCCAGGTATGTCAAAACAAATTAGGGATTATGTTAGGCAGTGTGAAGTGTGTAAGCTTAATAAATATGACAGGCATCCGGCTAAGCCTCACCTCCAGCCGACACCGATTCCCAGCTACCCATGCGAGATCATTCACATGGATATTTTCGAGATTGGAAAACAGAAGTTTCTGAGCTGTGTAGACAAGTTTTCAAAATTCGCAAAATTATTCGCTATCAAAAATAAGTCGTCCATTTATATCCGAAGGAAACTTACTGAAGTTTTACATTATCCACTAGGGGTAGGGGGGTGCTCGAGCCGCCCCCCCTAACTTTAAAATTTTCCTTATATATAAGTTAACACATCCGCCGTCACCCAACATGTTGCATTCCCACAGTCCAGCAATACACGTGCGCCATGTCAGCATAATTGTGGTTCACAACATAATTGACATCCTACACCTTTGTCAAGGCCAAATGTATTTCATCATATCATGCAATAGCAATATTGCACAACGTTATCAGACACCTATGGGAACCGTCGGCCACAGTTAGTACCTCTGGCTAATGCTTACGCAACCATTACTATAACGGAGCCAATGCATTAGGCATTGCAGCGGTGTCAGCATAATTTCATTTCACACGGTTGTGAAATCAGTGTGTTGAAACTTACAAGTTACCTGTGGGAATTTAAAGCCAAGGCGGCTCACTGACGTCGCCTATGTCTGGCTATAGAACAACGGCAGCGGAACAGGCTATAAAGGGCGGCAGAACTCGGAGCAGCGGCAGTTGCATCGGGGTGTTACTATAGTCAATTAGGCTTATTTACTTATCTCAATAAAGACCTTTTATTATAACGTTTAAATTACCTCTTTTAATTCCAGGGCAAGTTGGCCCTTTAATTTTTTTT